TACTGGGTCTCACTGTGTGTGGGCAGGTGCGGGAAGGAGGAGGAGAAGATGTTCAGTCCGCCAGCGCTGTAAACAGGACCCATGAGGCCCCCAGCAAGCATCTGGTACCATGCAAGAGGCTGCAGAGGACCGAAGTCTTGTGACAAGTGACTGCAGATGACGGATAAGTTGTGACAAGTGTCTGCTGATGACAGACATCCTGCTTGTAACAAAAGACTGTAGAGGACTAAGGAATAGCTTGAGGACTGATGGCATGTTACAACAAAATGGCGGCCACTGGTTTGCAACTTAACTTTATGCATTCCATGTAGAAATAGGCTCCAGACTTAGATTCAGCTGCAGTGATGATGAACTGCAACCCAAAACACCACTCAAATAATTTTTCATTTACTCCCAGGCAGAACTCTACACAGGCTGTAAGACATGGCTACAGGATTAATACTCCTCTCGGGGTAGACCCTCCTTGGCTCAGTCTTAGCTCCGTCCTCGTCTTCCCACCGGTCTCCTCTTTTGCGTTGATGAATAGCTTTACACAAATGTTAAAAAACTATCACTCTACCCCAGAGGTCAGCAACCTCGTCCTTCCAGCTGTGCTAAAACTGCAAATCCCACTGGGAGTCATGCCTGTGGCTGTCAGTCTTGGAATGCCTCATGGGAAATGTAGTTCCATAACAGCTGGAGTGCTGGGGTTGCCCACCCCTGCTCTAACCAGACTGAAATGATAAATCTTAATCATGGGGTCAAAATGGTTTAATACTTGTGAATCTTTCTTCTCCAAAACCAGAAAACTGTTTCAGACATAACTTGCTGTGCTAAATCGATCTTCATTATAAGCAATGACTGCCTATGGGAGCCCGTGTGCGCCCTATTCTAGGAATCATGCTAATACTTATTTTTAGATACAATAACACGTAAGACGTCTGCTTCAGGCAACTTCCTTTTTCTAAAAATGTCCCCCTTAGCTTCTGTCTTTGTGCTTCTTTTACAGGGGAGTGTACATCTCTATCTTAGACAAAGGACATATCCGATCCATTCTAGAGAACTGGCCGGAGACCGATGTGAAGGTGAGTACATGGAGAACATGATGATTGATCTTCCCGGGACAGGACCCCTCTGTTACATCCAACTACAGAGGTTTGCAGGCTCCGACGTTAAAGGAGAACTATGAGGAGAGTGAAAATCACTCATCCACATAGTTTGAGCCGACGTGTGACAATGAAACTGTGACACGTCGGCTCAATAGATCTGGAAGTGAGAGAACACATACCATCGCTCGCTCACTTCTCGATCATCTTCCTGCAGAGAGTCGTGACTGTCACTCACGGCTCTCCGCAGGGATTCCCGCCTCCCGCTCTGATCCTCCAGCAATGACTGGCCGGACGGAGAAGGGGCGGGTACAGTTGGCTCTGCCTCTAGATAGGCAGAGGCAGCTGTCACTCACGCAGCTGGGTGGATCTCGACAGTAATTCGGGATCCGTCCCGGCTTCGGTGGTCTCAGTATACCACGAGCTGTAGATCGCGGTATACTGAGCTTTGGGTCACGGGGGGGGGGGACCCACGGGTCACGGGAGGATGCTAGTTTATGTCCTCTCGTGACCCTTAGGAGAACTATGGGGAAAAACACTTACCCCATAGTTCTCCTTTTAAGGTTTCAAACTCTTGAGTCCAATTGATTGCAAACTTCCATGAATATATTTGGCATCCAGCCACCTTCCATCAGTGTCTCTTATCTCCGGAAATTGAAAGGCAGCAGCTATCTGTGTGTGTGTTCCACCTAAAGACCAGATTGAAAAGAATCCACAAAAAATGCAATACACATGCGCCAAGGCCCATGTATTGGGGGGGGGGTGTTCTCAAAACTGCAGCAGACAGAATCTGGAGAAGTCTGGCTACCAAATCAGCTTCTCTCTTTATTTTGTTCAGTTAAGATTTGAAAATGAAACATAGACGCCAATTGGTTGCCATGGGCAAATGCTCCTTCTTTTCTCTGCTCCAGTTTTGATAAATTCCCCCTTATGATATCTTATCACCGATCATATGTTTGGTGCAAGAAGATATGGGGGTCACAGAACAGGAAATGAAAGGGAATTCTCCCAGCAGGGTTATAGGAATAATTAACAAAAAGGTTCTGTTCTTTCTTATACTTTATCCAGAACTAAAAGAACTACAATATCATGGTTAGTTTACTAATTTGTATTGAGATTGTAGTCTATCCCGTTGGGGAACTTGGAGCGGTGACTACTTTACAACACACACAGGGACCATGGGGAACAAAAGTAGCCCCCCTCCAGAATGAAGGACAGTGTCTGCACCAATTCAGAGATGATTGGAGGATCTACAGCCGAGTGATACACACATAAGATACACTCCTGATTTCAGTGTCACTTTAATTCTAAAGCTTGGTGTCTTCACCACAAACTATTGAGCTTTATCACTGTTCTTCTTTTTTTTTCATGTTCGTGTCCGACCGACTAAGCTTCAGTATACCTTGTTTTATTTATCTGAAATTGTATGGTCTTATTTTGTTAATATCAAGTACAAAGACTCAATAAAAAGTAGGGATATGCCGATACCGAGTATTTGGGCGAATATTCATACTCGCCCAAATGCTCCCATAACTTCCCTGATACCGGAACCTCCGGAAGATTTCTTCTGACCAACACTGCCTTCAGGGGGACATGGAGCCGCCTTCCCGGGCAAACAAGAAGCTGGGCGGTGAGCCGCCTCCCGGCTTCCTGATTGGCCAGAAATCCGGTTCCAAGCCAGCACAATCTGTGATCAGGCTCCAGAGTCCAGTAGCTGAAACAGCAGGCAAATTTGTGGTATAACAGGCCAGGTTCGGTACACAAGCAGACGGTAGTAGTATAGGAGCAGGCAGAAGCATAGTCAGAAATCAAGCCGAGGTCAGGAGTCAAAGGTATCCAGTATGAAGTGGAAGACGATGAGAGTAGCGGGTGAATCGGCAGCCAAAGGTCGGTACGCGGGTAGCCGTATGAGAGGATTGTATCACAGGAAGTGCAGAGATATGGCTAAAATAGGAAGTTCAAGGGAGGAGCAAAGAGTTCAGAGTTCAGCAGAAACTAGGCTTACCTGAGGATTGCACATGAGATCAGGCAAGGAGCTATCCAAGGTTCTAAGGTGGCTCAGCAGGTAGAACCACTGCTAGCTACAGCAGAGGTCCTGGGTTCAGATCCAGTTCCTGACACCGGTTTCCGGGCCAATCTCAATCGAGTTGGCCAAACAATATAACAACATGGAGCTGGCTTTCCGGGCAATAAGTAAGCCGAGTGGCATGTCATTACCAGCCGCCCGGCTTTCTGATTGCCTGGGAAGCCGTTATCGATGCTCCCATGCTTGCGGAACTACCGGTATCGGCGAGTACTGATAGCAAAATATCGGTACTCGTAATCGATACCGAAAAAATGGTATCGGTGGATTCCTAATAAGTGCCATTTGGACACTACACTGAGCTGGTTTGGGATCAGGACTAATGTAGTTGGTTCAATGTTTTCTATTAGGTGCTGCAAGAAAAATAAGAGCTGTATTGCTAAATGGGTAAAATAAAAAACAGATGCAATCAGATTGCCATAAATTGTAACGGTAACAAGCGTGAGGACAGTCTGTCTGGGAATATTCTCACTCTTGTGACCATCTGCTGGGCAGTGGAGGAAACACAAGTGTATCAGACCAGAACTGTCATTTTCTGTCCACTCCATCCAGTGGTGCCGAGTGCGGTTAGTCCTGATCCCAAAACAGCTCGGTGTATTGTCCAAATGACACTTTTTATTAGGAATGCACCGATACCGTTTTTTCGGTATCAATTACGAGTACCGATATTTTGCTTTCAGTACTCGCCGATACCGAGCATCGATAACGGTACTTCCGCTGGCATGGAGCCGGCTTCCCAGGCAATCAGGAAGCCATGCATCATGCTACCATCGACATGCATCTCACACTTCTGTATAGTGCTGCTATAGATCAGGGGTGGGCAAACTCCAGCCCTCCAGCTGTGGTAATACTACAAAACCCATCATGCATCTGTCTCTGGGAGTCGTGGCTGTGAGAACTAAAACTCATGGGAGTTTTAGTTCCACAACAGCTGAAGGGCCGGAGTTTGCCCACTCCTGATATAGATTATGAATGGCAAATAGTAATCCTCGGGGATGGTTACATGAGAGATGTGGACTGCACCCACTTGCAGGAACTACAGGCACACTGAGGTTTGAACTCCCTACCCTCCCCCCCTTTCCCTGGCATCCCCAACCCCTCATTTCTTGTGTTTCCTGCATTACCTGCAGACATGTTGTACAGGTACTTATGGTTCTTGTCTGCTTATGGTTCCTAAAAAGTGCTTGGAAATTCCTTTTCAGACCGCCAACCATGTGCCAGGCTGGTGGGTCGTGTTGGCTGGAGGAGGGAGGGGATGCAGGAAGGTTGTGCAGCATTGGTCACCCTGTTCTACAACCCTGAACTCTACTTTCGACCAATAGCTCAGCTTCCGTTGCAAATTTTCTCCCCACCGGAAAAGCGGTGGGGAGAGTCTAAGAAGAGAACTCTCCTCGTTTTGAACAGATTTCTGCTTACTTCCTGTTTCTCTGGGACAGGAAGTGAAGGGAAATCTCCCCAACAGGACATCAAAGAAAAAAGAAAAGTGTATTAAATTGTATTTATTGCCTGCTGTGTTGAAAACAAAAAAAAAAGGCTTTACATTGTGTGTAATGGTCGTCTTCTCTGTTTCAGGCAGTGGTAGTAACTGACGGCGAGCGTATTTTGGGGCTTGGTGACCTGGGGGTTTATGGAATGGGCATTCCTGTTGGAAAACTGTGCCTGTATACAGCTTGTGCCGGTATACGCCCTAGGATGTGTCTGCCGGTAGTAATCGATGTTGGCACTGATAATCCGGTAAGTTTCTTGCTACATGGTAAGAACGATGAAAGCTATTCCTTCATGTACATAATGAGGAGGCCGTGTCACGCGTCAGGTTTCACATTGCACGGTTTATTTATCAGGATTTATTGAAGGACCCGTTCTATATGGGACTGTACCAGAAGAGGGACCGGACCCAGCTATACGATGACCTCATTGATGAATTCATGGATGCTGTTACTGACCGGTATGTCATATTTTTCTGCATTATATGGAATATGATGTCATTGCAGCCTTACAAGGTCATTGGTGTTACTTGGAAGCCTGTGACTTATTATTATTATTATTATTATTACATAGTATTTATATAGCGCCAACAGTTTGCACAGCGCTTTACAATATAAAGACTTGGGCTTGTACTCTACTTGACAATTTCTTACTATTTGCACACACATGATGCAATCTGAATTTTTGGCCAGAAAACAGCTTCAGACTCCCCCCAAACAATGATATATGTTCTGAAAGCAGAGGTCCTGTACAATAAAAAGATGCTGGTTGCAATTTTTCATGTCGCACGGTATTTGCATAAATGTTTATCAAACCACTTTTTTTTGACTCAAATACACTAAAATGTAATTTAGTGCACAGAAACAGAATATAATACCCAATTTTTTGGTAAAATATAAAAGACGGGTCACGCCGGGTAATTAGATACCAAACATGTCAAGCCATAAAATTGTGTGCGTTCGTGAAACTGCAAAAAAACGACAGTAACCAAAATTTCCCATAGGCGACGTTTTAAACGCTTTTACGGCTAACAGTGATTGATGGGCCTAGAATTATTGTTCTCACTCCGATGCTCGCGATGATGTGTAACGTGTGGCGCAATTTTTGTTTTTGCATGTGGGCGCATTCGACGCGTGCTTCCGTTACGTATGTGCGTAAACATGGGGGATTTTACTTTTTTTTTTTTTAACACTCTGCTTTATTGCTATCACTTAGGGGGCTAACAAGCACCCTATGTAATAGCAAATATAATGTGATTGGCAGGGAAGCCGGCTTGATGCTGATTGGTTGACCTCCGGCCTTCCCTTCAGTCTTGCACAGTTGTACCGGCTCCTCTTCTGCACTAGATTGCTTACTTGGAATTCACTGCATTTTGTGAATTTCTCACAGTACAGGTATTCCTCACTTAACGACCGAGTTCCGTTCCTACGACCAGGTCGTTAAACGAATTGGTCGTTAAGTGAGGAACTCTATACAGTACTGTACTGCATTAGTACAGTACTGTATAGCATTGCAGATGTACAGTACCGAACAGTGTACTGTACATCTGGCAATGAAAATACTTACCGGGACCCGCAGTGAAGATCAGAGGACGTCACTTCCGCCGGCGACACGTCGCACTGACGCTGACACGCAAGGTCGGAGGTCGCTCGGCAGTCCGTCGTAAGTACGAGTGGTCGCAAAGCAGGTAAGTCGGTAACCGAGGAAGGTCTGTATGCAGCAGAAGCTTCAGCAATTCAGAATTCTAATTCCCTGGCTGGAGGACATCCAGCATCATCTAGCTGTTTCCTCCCTAGCCTGCTCCTTTCAGTCATTTGTATTTCCGCCATGAAGGTTCATCACATGTGGGCAGGGTGCTGTGAAGTTTTCAGGAAGTTGGGTGCATCTCCCTGCCTGCTCCTTCCCACCAGCCATGAAGCAAGGAATAGTTGCATATTAAACTCCAGCTTTAACAAGCAGTGAATAAGGTTATAAAAGAAGCCCTCTCTGACCTCTGTAGCTTGTGCATAGGGGAGACATTCATCATCAAGTTCACAACAGGCGCTATCATAACAGCGTGTTTTCCCCTTGTTTCCTCTGGCAGCAGGGACTTGGCAGCATTCTTATGCTGGTGCTGTAAGCTGTCCAGAGTCCAACTGCAATTCCACGTCACAGCCTCTTTTGTTATCATTAAGGATGAATTGCTCCATAGCACCTACAGCTACAGAGGTCAGTGATGGCTTGTTTTAATGCCTATTTACTGCTTGTTAAGAACATGTAGATATTTGAATGTACGTAACCTGGTTACAGTTCTACTTTAACTCTGGGATAATCACTGAAGCTTTTGTTAGAGAAGTCATTTAAAGGAGGACTATGGGGAGAGTGAAATACACTCATCCTCAGTTAGAGCCGACATGGGACACTGCAGGTTTTAGGGCTCTATAGATCGAGAACTGAGCGACTACAAACCACCGATCACTCAGCTCACGGTCTTCTCCCTGCAGAGAGGAGTGGTGATCACTGCTCCCCTCTCCGGTCCTCCAGCGCTCATTGGAGGGACAGATAGAGGAGGGGGCGGCCCCCGCAGGATCTCAAAATCCCTGAACAATGCCGGCATCCAATCAGATTGTTCAGGTATTTTGAGAGCCAGCGGGGCCGACTAGCAAGATACTGAATCTTGGCCCAGTGGAAGATTTCTCCATCCACACAGTTTAGCGTAGATGGAGGAATCTGTTCCACTTTTTCCATCTGACCATAGAAAATCTGCAGATCATCCGTAGGTGTATGGCCAGCTTTATACAAGCCGTGATGTCGCTGAATATTAAATCCAGTTAGTAATTGTAATAAATGTGTTGTATGTTCTCAGATATGGTCAGAACACGCTAATCCAGTTTGAAGACTTTGGGAACCACAACGCCTTCAGATTCCTGAGGAAATACAGGGAGAAATATTGCACTTTCAATGATGACATTCAAGGTACGTCTTCTTGTTTTTGGTTGAACAACCTGGTGCAGCAATGCAGTGCGTACACCGCTTAATCGGTGGACGTTCACTTCCCTAACAAAGGGTTTAAGGTTCGACAGATGATGAAAAGAAACTCTCATATCCTTTTATTATGTTATACCAGCTAATAACATAACTGCGGTCTCAGTCCCATTAGGAAGATTTTCCATGTCCCAGTGTCCACTCCTTCTGAGGAATCTTAACAGGGGCACCCAGAGCAGAAAATACCTGATAGAGGTGCTAACCCTTCCCCTACTCTGCTGACAATAGCATTGTTCCTGTACATGCCACAGAGAAGACATTTCCATCTGACTTCTATCTAATCAGAGACTGCTGTCAGCCGGACAGGAAGTGACATTCTGTCCGAGAACACAGAGCAATAAACATGTCGCAGAGTAGAGGCTTCAACACGTTTGTTCAGCTCAAACTTTTTTTTTATAGTTTTGGAACCTCTGTTGGTTTTTACTGCCATCTGCATCAGGTGATGAAAAGCAAACTAAAGGTTAGAGTGTGGTTCCAGCAAACAGCTCAGATTTGTCATTTTGCCGGACATTCTTGTAACGCACACACACCTCTGCTGTTAATTGGATCACATTGCTGCTACCTAGTTAAAGTGACCGTAAACTCAAGACCTAAAACTTAAAGGAGAAGTATGAGGGGGGTGCTTTTCACTCATCTCATAGTTCTAGCCGACCTGTGACAATGAGACTGTCACAGGTCGGCTCAGTAGATCGGGAGGTGAGCGAACACATACCGGCGTTCGCTCCCCTCTCGATCCTGTCACGGCTCAGGGGAGGGGCTGGATTCCCCCCTCCCCGCTCCGATCCTCCAGCGCTGACTGGCGGAACGGACGGGAGAGGGGGCGGGTACAGCTGGCTCTGCCTCTAGATAGGCAGAGCCAGCTGTCACTCCCGCAGCTGGGCGGATCCCGGCACAATTGTCGGGATCCGCTTCAGCTGCGGCGTCTCAGTATACCGCGAGCTGTAGCTCGCGGTATACTGAGCTTTGGGTAACGGGAGGACAATAGTTTGGGTCCTCCCGTTACCCTAAGGAGAACTATGGGGAAAATGGTGCGCGGGGCAGCGTGTGATGCTGCGCGGGGCAGTGTTTGACAGACTGGCTGGGGGGGAATGCCTGAAGCTCAGGAACAGACTGGAGCAATGTTTTTTGTTTGTTTGTTATTATGCATCGCTGAGTTGTTTGAAGGTGAACAGTTCACATTTGGCAGAAGTTACTGCAAACATTGAGCAATAAAAGGGATGCGTTTATGTTTGATTGGTTCCTTTGGCCAACACACCCAAATTCCTCGACCATGTTTATGTGATAACATGAACATACAATATGTAAAGTTTGTGAACCTCAACACCTACACTCTATGCCAACGATATGTGGACATCCCTCTAAATGACTCGGTGAGTTCAGATGTGTCCAGTGCAGAGTACTGTTTATGTTAAAACATACACAGACATTTTAGACAACTGTTTTTGGAACAGTTTGGGGAAGGCCCCTTTGCCAGCATGACTGCACAAATCCACCTCCAAACCAAAACATGGGTTGATGAGTTTGGTGTGGAGGAACTAGAGTGGCCTCTACAGAAGGGCTGGAACCACCTAAGCGATTAATTGATCATGAGAATAGTTGCCAACTATTCTTTCTCGATTAGTTGAATGGATCCCCTAGCTCTCTCCTCCACGCTGGGAGGAGGGCACAGCAAGCAGAGGGCGGGTGCAGTAGCCTATTTTTTTTTTTTTTTTTTTTTTTTTTTTTCTGCCTTCCAGTGCAGTGCGATTTGCAAAAAATTGTACATGCAGTTTTATTCTGAAGTAAAATTTATGTTTATAACACTCCATTTGTGTTTTTTATTTTAAGGATGGTATTTATTTCATTTTTTTTTTTTTTTTTTATCCGATTTTAATTGAAATTATAATTGGCCAACTGATCGATTTTTATGAAAATAATCATTAGTTGCAGCCCTACTCTACATAGGCCTGACCTCAACCCTACTGAACACATTATGGATCAAATGGGATACTCATGATGATCCAACATCAGTACCTGGCCTCACAAATGGCCCTTTGACTGCATGAGCACAGATTCCCATAGACACACCCCAAAATCTTGAGGAAGGCCTTTGCAGAAGAGTGGAGGCTGTTTTAGGTAGAAGGAGGGGGTATCTCCAATTGAATACCCTTGGTTCTGGAATGGGAGGTTCAATAGACCCATGTGATAGTCGGGTGTCCACAAACACCTGCCTGTATAATGTATTTTAATGCTGGGGCAACACCATGCTCTACTATCTACTATTATTCTGCACCAGCTGGACAATTTAGTGCAATAAGGAATTGCGACTTACCAACTGTTACTGTCACTTGTCCTAACAAAGAAGAATGAACAGCTTCTGTTTGTCAACATAAAGCGATAAATATTCATCTCTGCAGGTTGATCTAATGGAGTCGCGGTTTTTCTTTTTGTGTTCTCAGGTACGGCATCAGTGGCACTAGCTGGTCTACTCGCCACGCAGAACGCGATTAATAAACCCATCACGGAGCAGAGAGTTCTGTTCCTTGGTGCTGGAGAGGTATGTCAAGGTTTATTTCGCTTTTGCATATATACATGTCATTAATGTGGGGGGGGGAAATGAACTAAACCGATCCAAGGGGCAGGAGATGTTGTCTATCTCTTTCCTAGACTCAGCAGTGCAGCTAGTGAGGTTGGACATTGTAGGATGCAATAGGTACTCTCTGTGGTCTAAGCTTTAAACTGGTCATACACTACCTGGCCCAAATTTGTACAGTGGGATTTGCTGTCCGCACCCTTCCAGCTGGAATACCTCGATCAGAAGATCGAAGGAGCTGGATGGAAAATCTTTGGTCGAATGGAGCTTGCAGCCAATCTGTTTGGGTATTGGGTAGGGATGCACCGATACCGTTCTTTCGGTATCGAGTAGCGATATTTTGTTTTCCTTACTCACCGATACCGGAAGTCCCATTAAGGAAGCCAGGCGGCGTGTAATGACTCGCCACATGGCTTCCCGATGAGCAGGGAAGCCGTCTCCATGCTTCCTCATCATCGGGTGACGAGACAGCATGGAGCCGGCTTTCTGGCCAATCGGGAAGCCGGGGGGCGGGTAATGACTCGCCGCCTGGCTTCCTAATTGGCCAGTTAGGCAACTAATCAGGAAGTTAGGCGGCGAGTCATTACACACTGCCCGGCTTCCTGATGGGCCGGGAAGCTGGCTCCATGCTCCCTCGTCACCAAGTGTAATGACTCCCTGCCCGGTTCGGGTATCGGGCTATGCATCGGAGCATTTGGGCGATCAGTATCAGTGCATCCCTAGTATTGGGTATTCTGACAGTGGCTGACAGGCTCTATCAGAGTACAATGGGAAAAAGGAGGGGATTCTTTGATCAACACTCCTAAGCGTGGATGGAGGAATCTGTTCTATTTTCTTTGTTCAGCCCGCAGGTTGAGCAAAGAAAATATAACAATGTATGGCCAGCTTTATCTTATCATACATAATTTACAATGAATGTAATACTACAGAAAGCTGTCACATACTGAACACATGCAATGGGAGATGCTCAGAGCCTGGGGACATGTTTCAGGAGTCAGACTGGAGAATGGTTACATGAAACTGCGAGAGATCACGACTACAGACCATCTACATATCAGTGCTCCAACATTTGTGCTTCCCACAGCCCCTTAAAAAAAAAATGACTTGCACTATATTTAATATTTCTTTCAGAAAACTCCATTTATAAAGGATTAGAGGACAAAAAAAATAAAGACATGAGATGAAAGAGCACAGAGGCAAATAAAAAAGATGGTATGAAGGAAGTAAACCAGGGGTAGGCAACCTCAGCATTCCAGCTGTTGAGGAACTACAAGTCCCATGAGGCATTGCAAGTTTCTGACAGTCACAGGTATGACTCCCAGAGGCAGAGGCATGATGGAATTTGTAGCGTCGGCACAGCTGGAGTGCCGAGGTTGCCTACCTCTGAAGTAAATCTAACCATTTAACTATTAGAAGCCAGTCTAAAGAATATTTTCCTTTTACTGGCTTGAGCAAACTGCTGTCTGCAGGGACCTCGAGAACATCGAGTGTCAAAGGGCCACATGCAACCACCTGGGCTGCAGGTTGGGCACCAGCGCGTTGGTGGCAATGATGGACCATGTCTGCACCATGTGTAGTCTCAACCAGGGACGCATAAGACGGAGTGGCAATACAAAAGCACAATTGGGAGATAATGGTCATCCCATAACAGGAAGTGCCTGAATACATTTGATGATGTGTTAAAGAATAGAGAGCTGAATTACAGCGTGTCTTTTTATATCCATCTGGAGTTCAGCCTGAAGAGACCAATGTGGCCAGGCTGTAGTTTTTTTTTTTTCGGGGGGGTGGGGGTCTGAGAATTATAAATCTGACTTTTTTAAATGATCCATGAACGTCGACTTACACTTTGTCAGTATTAAAACTGTTGTGCCAGCTGTCACATTAGATTTAACTCTAGCTACAATAACCTACTTTCTACATCTTCCAGGCAGCTTTAGGTATTGCAAACCTCATCGTCATGGCCATGATGGAAAACGGCATCTCAGCCGAGGCGGCTCGAGACAAGATAAGGATGTTTGATAAATATGGATTGCTGATCCCGGTAAGCCACATTGCTATACATATGTGTATGTGTAGCCAAAACTTTGTATTCTTTCTCATCCTACGAGGGACACAGGAAGTCTTAGTCAGGTTATACTGCCACCTGCAAGAGGATTGGACATTGGCAAACAAAACAACTGCCTAGTGTAATACCCCTCCTATTACCAGCATGCCTCATGTGGGTGGGATGGATCCCTTCTTTCCTGTAGTTGGGTTTGGATCACCCTTTGGCCCTTATCAAGGACCAGATCTCTGCTCTTGTCATTCTTTATCAGAGACCTTTAGGATTTCCACTCTTTCATCATGACCTGTGTGCAAGAGGTCTCACATGTGGTTCCTCCATTCTAATTCCTTCTACCTCAGTGGGATTTGAATTGGGTCATCCCTCTCCCTGCTCTGACTCATAAGGTTTTCTTTGTATCACCTCGACTATATGAATGTCTGATCTGACAGCTTTTTCCTGCAAGGAACCCTTTTTGGTCCTAGTGGCAAGGTGGTCTTGAGGCCTAGAATGTCCTTGCTTCCCAAGGTGGTCCCTGCATTTTACCTTAATCAGGATATTGTCCATCCCTCTTCAAGTTTGGCTTCAGTTCACCAGAAAGAGATTCCTCTCCTCTGTTTTGATGTGGTTTGGGCTTTTCAGGTGCATATTTCTGCCACTTTTTCATTCGGTAATGTGGACTCCCTTATTGTCATTCCTAGTGGGCCCAGGAAGGGAGCCCCAGCTTCTACCATTTTCGGTGGCTTACATAGACCATGGTGCAAGTTTATGGTGTCAAGAATAGGGTTGGCTATTTCCAGCCAAGGCTCCCTCCACCAGGGCTGAGTAGTTTTTAGGCTTTTCAGCATCAGGCCTCTGTTTTCCAGCTTGGAAAGGCTGCCACCTAGTCAACACGTTTTCCAAGTTCTACAAGTTGGATGTTTCGGCCTCCTCTCTTGCCAGCTTCAGGTGTAATATCCTTCAGGTGTCTCTTTGAGCTGCAGTTCCTGTTGACTACATCGGTCCTGTGAGGGTTAGGTCGCACCATATGCAGTGCGTTCCGGTCCGATTTTGGCCGGAACGCACTGCATCGCATTGCGGCCGGCTCACTTTTTTACTGGGCTGGAGGGGGCGTGGCCGGGCCATTGAAGTGAATGGCACCGTAGCCACGCCTTCTGGTCACAATGCGATTGCCCGCACGGGATCGCAAGGCACGTTGTGCCTGCAGTGCGGTGTGATCAAAATGCTGCGAACACTATTTTGATCGGACCGCACTGCAGGCACAATGTGCCTTGCGATCGCATTCACTTCAATGGCCGGCCACGCCCCCTCCAGCCCTGCAAAAAAGTGAACCGGCCGCGATGTGATGCAGTGAGTTCCGGCCAGAATCGGACCGGAACGCACTGCATATGGTGTGAACTAACCCTTAGTGTTTGCTTGCTGTGTTGCCCGCCCCTCAGACTGCTTTTGGACATGCTGAAGTTTTAATGTTTGCTATATTCCACAATGGACAAGAAAGAAAATAGGATTTTTGGTACTCGCCGTAAAATCCTTTTCTTGGAGTCTATTGTAGGACACAATAACCTCACCCCTTTGGGCTTGTTCACACCAAATGCAGACCAGATCTACATGAGTTTCTGCACATGCAATGCAGTGTGTTTTGCCTAAACTGGGCTTTCAGTGCATTCCAGGGCGTTTGCATGCATTTTTGATGTGGCTGCATGTGTTTTGATGCGTTCCAGAGCAGGTAAAATAGGGCTTGCTGCAGTTTTTCCACATGCTCTGGAACTGAACACTGTGGTGTAAACTAGAGCCCAAAATACCATTGGAATACATTGGACGCAGTTTTGATCCGTTCTGTAACTGCTCTGCATCTGCTCCGCACTTGGTATGAACTACCCTTGGTGTTTATGATCATGCTCTTGGTATTACTTTGCTATTAAACTAAGCCATGCTGGTACAGGGAGCGGTTATTGTGGGCTGGCCTGATGTTTTTTTGTTTGCCAGAGTCCAGTCCTCTCAAAGGCGGAAGGATTTTGAGGATGGCCTTTAAGTCGATTGGGGATTGGGATTCCTCAATGGACTTGAAGACAATTATTTTCCAGTGAGTAAAAAACCCTGTTTTGTTTTGGATGAAGTCTGGAAGGGTTAGAACCCCTGTCCCATTATTTTAATTTTGTAGAGATTTCCTCAGATCTTCTGCTGTGTCTCTGGAACCGGAAGTCATGAGAAATCTCCCCAACAGGACACAGACAGCAAGATATAAACTACCAGGGATTTTAGCCCTCCCATACACTATCCCTCCCAAAAATCATTTTTTTATATACATTTTATAAACCTAAGGCTTTATTTATTTTTTTCTTGTATTAAAAACTGCTCTTTTTATTATCGGCTGACAAATGGCAAATATATATATTTTTTTAAATTTTTGTTTCCACTTCTGCTTTGTGGGAAAGCAAATGCATTTGTTTGTTTTGTTTGGTTTTCAGGTTTAAAGCATAAACTTGGATCATTGCTCACATTACATTACAATAAAACTGCAGCCACATGGCACAACTATTTTCATTCTCTTCCCTTCTCCTACTGCACATGTGACACTTCTAGAGTCAAGCTTGTCCACATGCGGCTATAAGATTCTAATAAAAGTAAATTCTTTATTCTTGTAAAGGTGGCAGTTTCAAACCATACCATTCTTTTCTTTCCTTTCCTCTTCTTTTTTTCTTTCCTTTCCTCCTTTCTTTTTTCTTTCCTTTCCTCCTTTTCTTCTTTAAAAGTATCGGTACTTGTACTCGTACTTGGTATCTGTGCAACCCTTCTTTTTTTTCTTTCCTTTCCTTTTTTTTCTTTCCTATCCTCCTCCTTTTCCTTTCTTTTTCTTTCCTTTTCCTTTTCTTCTCCCTTTTCTCTTTCCTTTTCTTCCCCCTTTTCTCTTTCCTTTCCTTTTCTTTTATTCCCCCTTTCCTCTTTCCTTTCCTCTTCTTCCCCCTTTCCTCTCCACCTTCCTTCTTTCCTCTTCTTCCCTCTTTCCTTTCCTCTTCCCTGATTTATAAACTACTCTGGTTCTTGGTGGAGACAGTGAATGTCGGGATTGGGAGAGAGTAGCCGTATGAAGCTTTGGCTGCTGGCTGTCATAGGGGACAATATATATTAACATATCCTTGGCATAGGGCATCGTGCTGGGAATGTTAATAAAGAAACTGGGGGTGGGAAGTCCCTGATAAACCTGTCTAGTATTGTCAAAAAATCTTCTTCTTCCTCTTCCTCTTCCTTTTTTTTTTTGCTCCATAAACAATGTAATTTACATTTTTTAGTGTGTTTTTTATACTGTCCCTTTCAGTGGGCGGTGCATTCAGGGATGTTATTTTTAAATAGCGTAGAGGAATTCTACCCATCTTGGCACAGAATATTCAGCAGCTGCCGCGGGACGAGCCTCAAGATGGAGCCAAAGAAGCTTAGCCAAGAATCTTGCACCATCTAAATGTGTTTTTAACAATGATAATGGTTTGTGATAATGACAGGTGCATCCTCTAAAATTTGTGCTGTGCTGGCACAGACGTTGATGCTGTATTGTGCATGGGACGTAGGTAAAAACGGGTTTGTTTTTTTTCTTACAGGGGCGTGACGAAGGTGTAGACGGTAACCAAGAGTCCTTTGCACACTCAGCTCCTGATCAGTCTGTGACAAGCTTTCTGGATGCCGTCAATGTTTTGAAGCCCACAGCCATTATAGGTAAGGCAAGATGGACCTTTATTAGAACCTTTTAGGACTAATTCACATGGGCAGGTACGTCTGTATAGCATGCACGCTGTACGAAGGCCCGACCCAGGAGGGACAGGTGGTGCGTGTAGTTGTGTGCAGCAGCCTCTACATCCCCAAGGGAGGACTCGGCTGCATGCTGTTACACGCAGACTCATCCATTCGGGTCTGGGTGCCCGCACTTGGATGTACATTTTTGCGGGTGTGCATGTAACTGCATGCAACTGCATCCTCCGAGAGGGAGGTGCAGGCTGCTGAATGGAATTACACGCAGCATGTGTCGCTCCTAGGACTGGGTCTCTGCACGGATGTGCATGCTGTATGGACGTGCACGCCCATGTGAATGAGCCCTTACTGTTACATAGTTACATAGTATTTGAGGTTGAATAAAGACATTAGTCCATCAAGTCCAACCCATTAGGATCTCATTCTAGGAGTACCTGTACCCCTGTATATTACGGTCCCTTAAGAAATCGTCCAAAAGTTTCTTGAACAATTCCACATTATTTGCTGCAATCACCACTGGCAGTGAATCATTAACTATCCCGTTTTCCTGAACAAATTCTACCAGATAATCCTTTATTATGCCCTCTAGCATTTTACAAACTACCGATGTTAGACTGACCATAACTCCGGGCACTGTGGTCAGTGTAGTGAACTCCTAGGCCGCCACTTCAGAATAAACACCAGCCAAGTTACTGAGAAGCGTTGATTTCCCCACAGAGGGGAATCCTACAAATCCTATTCGAGCATCGCCGGTCTTTGCAACAGCCGGAGTTTAGCTAGACGAGCTTTCAGCAAACCAAGATGGTGTGCGGTAGCTTTGTTCTTCTGGGTCCAGGCCATCTCGGCCTCTATTTCGGCGATCTTAGCAAGTGTGCCGCTCATGGTGGCTCACGGTTCGGTTGCTGGACACCGAGAAACCGGCAGAACACGGTGCAGCACCACTGCAAAAGGGACACTCCATGCCAGACAGTTAATATCAGCTTTGGGTGTATTGGCTTACTGTAAAGATAACAATAAAAGACATGTTGTCCGCACACCTTTAGCGTCAAAACTTGGTCTTTATTGATGATCTTGCAGCATGAAGAAGGATTGCAACGTTCTAGAACCATGCAGGGTGCCTTCGTCAGGCAAAGTGTCATACCACCCACTGTGCTGTACAACAATACACTGTATATACCCCCAATGTGTTAAACATGCAAAACCTGAAAACCAAACACTTCCCCACTGGGTGCGCTGAGCATCTGGGCTCCCATGGCTTCTGCGGCCAGCACCAAATGTTTCAGCACACCAATTGGCATTGTTATCACCTCCCTGTGCCACCAGGTCTCGGTGCAACTGCATCTATATACAAGGGGCACTTATGCATCCCAGGAGGAATGATCATGAACACACCACAATAGCCATTCATAAGGTATGCAAGTTATTTATTTATATGCCACTGATGCATGTATTCTGGCAGGCATATGATGTCATTATGAAGTCAGGGGTGCTGGTGTTTTTTTGAGTTTTGCAAGTTTGACATTGGGTATATATTGTTGTGCAGGACAGTGGGTGGTATAACGCTTTACCTGGCAGAGGTTCCAAAACGCTGTATTCTTTCTTCATGCTGCAAGAACATCAATAAAGACAAGCGTTTGAAGCTAAAGGTGTGCAGACGACATATCTTTTATTAGTATGCCGTGGCGCCATCCACTAGTTGTTCCATCACCCAACCAAAAGGGGTTTATCTGTATGGTGTGCAAAGGAGATATAACCACAGCTTACTGTAAAGGTCAGTCTACCCATAAGTGTTATTTTACTCATACAAGGAGTCTGGTGAGCTGAGTCACCCCAGGCTACTTGTATGTCTTGGAGATCCCATTGGTATAATTCCAGTCCCATAACTTGTGTGTGTTCCAGCACCTCCCATTGCATTCCATAATACCTAAAATACATTTACAGAATCCAACATGCAGGGCCGAAGCCTTGAATCACGGATGTGTCAGATTTATGGACTTGGGTCCTCCGGCACAGATATAAGAAGCCGCGTTCTTTAGTATAAAGCCCCCAGTGAGGAGCACCACATTCAATTATATTGTCTATTTAGGTGTTGCCGGCGCGGGAAGACTGTTTACAGAAGATGTCATTAAGGCAATGAGTGCAATTAATGAGAGGCCAATCGTATTTGCTCTCAGTAATCCAACCACGAAGGCGGAGTGTACGGCGGAGGAAGCGTATACATGGTCGGAGGTAAAATGACACGGGGAATTGGACTAATGGAAATTTATAGTTTAAGTTATTAATAGGCTGAGCAGAGAGCCTGTCCCCTGCCAGCAGCTGCGGAGAAGACCCCTTGCTTTCTGTGTGGAAGCAGTGATCTCTCTGCCGAGATCACCCCCTGCTGAGTCAGAGCCAAAGCTCTCATATTAACCGCGAGCATAAAGTTTGCTGATTGCAGAGCTGTAGGTCTGATACTACATTGGTCATTGTGGACCTGTCCAGAGATAACACTGCTTCATCATGGAGAGCAAGGGTCTGACTGCAGCTGTTAGCCGGCTTTCCTACTCACGCTGTAGCTGCTTTGGAAAGGAAACAAAGTGTAAAGCACGGAACACCTTTTGATTAGATCTGCCTGGAATGTACTTAAACTGAAGGTTTGGTTGGTATTTAAAGCGGACCTTTACACTCAAAAATCTAATTGTACCAATGCATCCCTCTATGTATGATGAGTAATAATAACATAGACATGTCAGGTGTAAAATGCTGTGATTGTGAAATACTTACACTTGCAGAGCATTCACTTCCTGCTTTGTAAGTGCAAAATGACTTCAGTCTGCCAAAGCCATGCACACTGGGATTGCCTTGTCATCAGCAGAGCATTGCTGGGAAATCTCATCTGTAATCTCACGAGATCTCGGGGAAGGCATTTTCCTCCCCTGAGATGATGTGCATAGTCACATGTCCTAGTCACATGTGCCAGTAATCCAGGAATTAAAGGAGAGCTAGTAATCTGCCCTTAGTAAACATGGCCACTGTCAGAAGACTGGGGAAGAAAAGAAAAATAAGGAATGCACAGAATACAAAGCCGGCAATTATCTAGAAGTATGTGTGTAGATTGTCATCACTAAACGTTTCTAAAGGTGTCTTTGTTGTAGTTTAAAGACATGTGTAAAGGTCCGCTTTAAGGTAATGCCCAGAAACACAGTAGAGCCTTCTGAAATTATTTGCATGTCTTACTTCTGTCACACATGTAAAAAATAAGGGATTTATCCTAAGTGTTAGAACCTCAGTTGTATTGCTTTCTGTGTCATTCTAGTTCGGTGACACCCTTATAGCTCATTCCTTGCTTGGGTGTCACAGATTTAAATCTGAACTCCAGCTTTCCCTTCAGTCTTGCACAGTTGTAGCGGCTCCTCTCCTGGACTGAAATGGCTTCCTCTGATTTCACTGCACACTGTGAGCTCCTCACAATGTGCATTAGAAGCTGCAGCAAGTCCGATAGAGCCCGCCTCATTTCCTGGTGGGAGGACATCCAGCTTCGTCTAGCCCTTTACTCCCCAGCTTGACTGTCCCTGGTCAGGCGTTCATTCATTGGATTTCAGTTCTTTCAATCATGGCGACTTTGCATCCCCTAAGGTAGTCTGCATGCAAATACAGCCTGGCTACAAATCTCCGCTCCTCCAGACTGATATTTACTAATCAAAGCATTTTGTTATCTGCATAACTCCTCCCAAGAGCCAGCCCACTGCTTCAGAGCTGAGGACTCTTGGGAGGAGTACAGAGGTAGGGTGCTGCGATATTTCCAGAAAGCAAAGTACAGCACTCTGGCGGCCCCTCCCACCAGCCATGATCTGCCTGCATTGCATAGGGAAGCACATATGGCATCACTGGGCCTATAATACGGTATGTAATACAATTGGGAAGGTTTTATTTAAAAATGTCATTAGCATGTTGATGAGGGTTAAGCAGAGAAACCAGGGAAGGCAAAATATAAGCTGACTAAACTTTAGCTTTTAACCGCCTCCCGGCCGATGTATAACAGCGGCAAGCCGGCGGATCGCTTGTATGATCGGATCGGAGTGCCCCCCTCCGGTTGTCCTGCTGGTCCCAGGCTCCGCTGTGCACTGTCTAGGCCCGCGACCAGCATGGTGGCTCTCTGACAGGGGATCAGAGGGAGATTGGTATACGATCTCCCTCCGGTTCCCTCTCCGCTGTCAGAATACGGAAGTGATTACATATGTATATTACATCACTTCCGCATTCTTGCTTCTTCAGAAGCTGATGAAGCAGATCTCTGCTTCATCAGCTTCTTTGGGGGTCCCTTGGTGACATTAGAGGTCTTGGAGACCCCTCATGTCTCCATAAAGAGGACCTGTCGCATATCTTTGCTATCACATAGGGGGGTTTCTTATCCCCCCTATGTGATAACAATAAAGTTAAGTGGGGAAAAAATTAAAGTTGCAAAAAACAAAATTTAAAGTCACACATGAAAAAGAATTTTAAAAAAACTATTTTTTTCAAAAAAAAGTCCCCACCCATATGCGTGCAAACATGCGTTGGGTGTGCATACATGTGAAGACGGCGTTTGCACCTATTACGCCACACATGTTACATATCGCCACGAATGTCGCAGTGTGAGCAATAATTCTAGGGCCATCAATTACTGATAACACTAAACTGATGAGCGGTAAAAGCTTTTAAAGTGTCGCCTATGGTCAATTTTGGGTATGGTAGTTTTCTGCGATTTCGCGGGTGCACGCAATTTTAAAGCTCGACATGTATGGTGTCTATTTACCCGACGTTACAAAATAAACGTTGTTCTGGTGACATGATGTTCCAATAAACGAACACTTTGGACTTCAACACTATTGGTGTGCTGGTGACATCCGTTTATTTTGTACTGTTTGGCGGCACCATCTGTGGTCACTGCGAGCACTCCCCCTTATTTAATTTGGGGCTTCCCGGTAAGGAGTGCGGCAAGGTATTTCTACGTTTTATTTACCCGACGCGACTCCGTCTTTTATATTTTACCACAAAATTGGGTAATAAAAATTGTATTATAACATATTGTAAAAAAAAAACAAAAGTTTTTTTTCAAAATTTTCAGTAATTTTTCCTTAAAGGAGAACTATGAGGTGAGTGCTTTTCACTCACCTCATAGTTCTAGCCGACCTGTGACAGTCGGGAGGTGAGCGAACACATACTGGCGTTCACTCACCTCTCTGCCGTGACGGGAGCGGCTGGATTCCCCCCTCCCCCCCCCCATCCTCCCGCGCTGACTGGCTGAACGGACGGGGGAGGGGGCGGGTACAGCTGGCTCTGCCTCTAGATAGGCAGAGCCAGCTGTCACTCACGCAGCTGTCGGATCCCGGCATAATTGTCGGTATCCGCTTCAGCTGCGGCGACTTAGTATACTGCGAGCAGCAGCTCTCGGTATACTGAGCCTACGGTGACGGGAGAACGCTAGTTTGTGTCCTCCCGTTACCCTAAGGAGAACTATGGGGAAAAGCACTAACCCCATAGTTCTCCTTTTTAATATAGTAAAAAATAAAAACCCCAGCGGTGATTACCACCAAAAGAAAGCTCTATCTGTCCCCAAAAAATGGTATAAAATTAATTTCAGTACAGCGTTGCATGACGGAATAAACGTCAGTCAAAGTACCACAGCGCTGAATACTGAAAAATGGCCTGGACAGGAAGGGGGTGTAACACCTGGTCAGCAAATGGTTAAAGTGAATGAAAGTCTCCAATATGTTTCTAAACCGCTATAAGAATCTGGCTGGAATTCTGACTTCCCATTCCGTCCAAAATCTAAAAAAGTTTGGAGTGTTGTTGAGCTTTATATGATCAGCAAGGCCTGATGGGTGTGGATTCTACTGCCATATGATTAGGCTTTGCAGGCTGGACTGTCTGACTGTGCTGCACCCCAGGGGATTGCACTACCATTAATAAAGGGAGCAGCTCGGAGTTGTCTTCATGTAAGGTCTTCTTATGGAGTCAGATCTTCTGGTCATTGGTCTGTTTTTCTCATACATCCAGTTGATGTTCTCTTCATATTTCTTTATTGTTAACTGTTCTTCCTCCCTAATTTAGGGCCGCTGTCTGTTTGCCAGTGGAAGTCCCTTTGATACGGTGACTTTAGCTGACGGGCGATCCTTTAAACCCGGCCAGGGGAACAATGCCTACGTTTTTCCAGGTATGTCTTCAGGAAAAAAAAATGCTCAAACACGTTTTCATTAGGGATGCACCGATACAAGCAACATTGGATTGCATTGGAGCGCGATATCGCGCGGTAATTTGGCGCGCGATAAATCGCTCAATGTGAACGGGGTCTGAGATAGCAATGGCATGAGAAATATTAATTTCATTCAATGTCTTTTTTTTAATATTATAAATGTTATAATATTTTTAAAAAGACATTGAATAATGAAATTAATATTTATCATGCCATTGCTAACTAAGGCTTGTATCCCCCTAGTGGGGAAAATAGATTATCACATGCCCAGACTCCAGAACAGTGTATTATTGTATAGAGTGGAACAGCTATATCCAATTCTGCATACCTGGCTTTATATTATAAGGTTCTTATAATATAAAGCCAGGTATGCAGAATTGGATATAGCTGTGCCACACTACAGAGTGTTCATGTTCTTCATAATATTAAGAAACTGACCTAAAATCCTGATTTTGTATTGCTTTAGAAAAAATGTGACCTGTCCCTTTAGGAAAAAGTATCGGTAATTGGTATCGACGAGTACTTGAAAAAAAGTATCGGTACTCGTACTCGGCCCTAAAAAAGTGGTATCGGTGCATCCCTAGTTTTCATTATTATAAAATTGTATCTTTTACCTTTTTATTGAGCTGCCAGAAATCCAGCGTGCTCCCAACTTCTATTTGAGCTGACAACACTATGAGGGGAGTTTATCAAAACCGGAGAAGTCCAAATCTGGAGCAGCTGTGCATGCAAACCAATCAGCTTCTCTCTTCAGTTTGTTGATTTAAGAATTGGAAATGAAAGAGAGAAGCTGATTGGTTGCCATGCACAGCTGCTCCAGATTTTGTCTGCTGCAGTTTTGATAAATTCCCCTCACAATGTTAAAAAAAAAAAAAAAAAAAGTAACATAGACCCATGGCAACACAGTGAGGGGAATTTATCAAAACTGGAGCAGCTGTGCATGGCAGCCAATCAGCATCTCGCTTTCATTTTCGAATCTTAACTGAACAAATTGGAGAGAGAAGCTGATTGGTTGCCATGCACAGCTGCTCCAGTTGCCTCTTCAGCACTGAAATCCCAAGAAGCATTGACAGCCCTGCCTGTTGGGCTACAGGACTCTGCTTATCCCCCACCCCTCTCTGTCTTTCTCTTCTTCACATACACATACATTGATTGCTTTTCCAACAAAGCACTTCTGCCCCCTTGTCTCCCAAGAAGCCTGACCATGCACTGTATGTAGGAAAAGGGCTCTAGGGAGATGTAGTTGTGGGGGTGTTCCTACATCAATAGGAACGGAGTTCTCAGCAGGTGTCCCTGCAAGAATTTTACATGCCTGGTGATGTCACAGGAATGAATACAAGCGGTTTTTTTTTTAGCTCCGAGAACATAATAAAACCTAATGCTGGGACGTGATCGGTCAGGGTAGGAGATTTGGGGGTTCATGCCCGGACACACACTTAAAAGCAAACCTGCTTGAGACATGGAGGCCTCTACAGTAGTTGCCTGATGTTGTCAATGGTGCCCGAGCGTGCAGGGTATTGTTGATCAGGTCCTGAGAGGTAACCGCTCGTCTGACTGCAAGAGACCCTGCATATGATCAACCGGGAAGTCACCTTAAGTCCAATTTTACAAATGATGCTGGAAGTTCAGCGCGCACTGCTTGTATTTATTGTTTTATTTCCCCTAATTAAAGATATTACCATACATTTTGAATTTGCAACTTAGGAATTTTAAGAGAAAATGTTGTCATTAACCACTTGCTGTCCGGAGCACTTTCTTACTATTTGCGCACACATGATAAAATATACATTTTCTGGCTAGAAAACGGCTTCAGACCCCCCAAACAATGATATATTTTCTGAAAGCAGAGGCCCCGTAGAATAAAAAATGCTAGTTGCATTTTTTTAAGTTGCATGGTATTTGCACAAATGCTTATTTTTAGGATAAAATAAACTAGATTAAAATTTAGTGCACTGAAACAGAATATAATACCGAATTTTTTGGTAAAATATGAAAGGCGTGGTCCCGCCGGGTAATTAAATTCCAAACATGTCAAGCCTTAAAATTGTGTTCGCCCGTGAAGCTGCAAAAAGCTTCAATGCCCCAAATTTCCCATAGGGAACACTTTAAATCAGTGGTTCTCAACCTGTGTGACCGGAGGACCCATATTTGTCCTTGGTCATTAAGTTGCGACCCCAGTCACACTCAAATAGAACACACGGCATTAGGGTCATACGAAGTGTGGGTGCATTTGTTGTACCATTCAAATGAATGGCAAGGGAACACACCTCCCACACCAGAATGCACGGTAAGTGTGATTGCGGTGTACAGTGCATTAATCGAATGGTACTATGCAAATAACGCACTGTGCTAGTGTGAACAGCTCCTCCAAAAACCCTGACAGACACAATCTCACACACTCAGACATTCTCATACACACTCCCAAAAATGTTTTTATAAGGTCCACCTGTAAATCAATGCACGTATGGATGGAGCTCTCTCACGGTCTTAGTAGATTTATTGCAAAAAGGCATCAGGTCACATAAATGCAATGCATTTATGTTGCCTTTTTGCAATAAATAAGACTTTATTTCACGCTGATATTGGAATGCCGGTGTCCATGTTTTCTGCTGATGTACGACGGTTGCCATCCGTTGATCACCGAAGCACCCATTTTATTTTCTTGGAGCTAAGCGGACAGGAGTGCGATGGGTTCATGGATCTACTAAGACCGTGAGAGAGCAATGCATTTATGTGACCTGATGCCTTTTTGCAATAAATAAGACTTTATTTCACGCTGATATTGGAATGCCGGTGTCCAGGTTTTCCTCTCTCACGGTCTTAGTCCCATCCCACCTCAAGCTGACACTCGGCTTCGGGCAGCATATTTTGAATGGCTGCTTGGAGCGAGAACTGGTAGTGCTGCGCTAGGGGTTAGGCAAAGTAGCCTCTCGCCTAGAAAAGTGGAAGGCTTCCGGCGACCCAATGAAAATGGTGTCGTGACCCACCAGTTGAGAACCAAGGCTTTAAATGCTTTTACCGCTCATCAAGGGCCGCAGAATGTAAATAGTGACACCGGAAGTATTGTAATATAGGGGACAGCGCCGCTCGGTACAAACGATCCAGCGGGTGTATAGAAGCCGGATCGCTTGTATTGTAACACCCATATCTGGCTGTTAAAAATGACACCAAGAACACGGCTGCAGCAGCCACTTCTGCGGGCTGCCGTATATAGACGTATTGGGGCCCGGAAGTGATTACATTTGACCTGCAGCAAGCGAATCCAACTAAAAGTCTCTTCCTCTTAAAACTGAACGTAATGATTCAGAATGACGTGCAGTGAATGTCAGAAATCGAGTCACTAAGCCACGTCCCCCTTGTTCTTGTAGGTGTGGCTTTGGCGGTTATCCTGAGTGGGGTGCGGCACATAAGTGATCGTGTGTTCCTTGAAGCTGCAAAGGTGAGCAGTTCTAACATGTAATAAAGTGAAGCTAGAATGGTTTTTGATCTTTTTAACACGATCGCATACGATAATCGAGCACCTTTAGCTTTGGGGGGGTAATATGGATTTTTAACAGGATGATAGAAAGAAGTGAAAAATAACTTGACCAGCAATAATATAAATGTTGTAGATTACTTCTGTATTTTCAGTCTGCGGTACTTTTCATTACCGGGGTACTATGCTATTTTTTTCCCCCTCTTAACTATTTATAATGAATTTTCAGATCGATTTAAATTATTCTTTTTGATTAGACCCCATCTGATGGCATTTTCATTGGATACAATATGTGTTGCATTGTGCAATGTTTTAATTGATGAAGTTGAATCACTTGTGTGCAATCGCTCTTCCCTCGATCGATCAGATATCGGAACGCGTATGTTCCCCTTTTTAGTTTACAAATCTCATTATTTCATGACTGTTTGTTTTTTCCCCTAGGCTTTGGCAGAACAGCTAACTGCTGAAGAGCTGGACCAGGGCCGCCTGTACCCACCGCTCTCCAACATCCGCGAGGTCTCCATATGTATTGCTGTTAAAGTAAGTGCAGTCTAGTCTGCTGCTTGTTCGGGGGGCACATCATACTATTAAAGTCTATGTACAGCCCAAACCTTTTTATAAAGTTTTAGGAAAAGTAAGGAAGAATAAATTAACAGGTTGTTTGTTTGTTTTTTGCTGATTGTGTCCCACTGGGGAGATTTCCCTTCACTTCCTGTCCTGCAGATTAGAAAAGAAATGAAAGATAATCTCCACAATTTGAGGGGAACTCACATCTTAGGCACTTGTCACCAGAACATTTGTCCCTATTGGAAAATCTTTCCTCAACCTTTTGCTTTCCTGACATCTCTAAAATTTAGGATTTCCCCTTACATTCTGTGTCGGCCATTCTCATCAGGACAATGAAAGGGGTGAATCTCTCCTGGGCATGAAGGGCGGGGGGGATGGAGGTGGCAGAGACCAGGGCTGGGCAAACTCTGGCCGTCCAGCTGTTGTGGAACTAAAATCCCATTAGGCATTGCAAGTCTCTCACAGACATGACTCCCAGAGAAAGATGCATAATAGGATTTGTAGTTTCACCACAGCTGGAGGGCCGGAGTTTGCCTACCTTTGGTCTAACCCTTCCCTAATCTATCCAAAAGTTTAAAAAACATTTTGCCTTTTACATACACTTCAAAGCTTAAAAACCCGCACCGAAGAGGTGAATGCTTGATAAATCTAGGGGTAGAGCATTTATCTCTGCACACTAGATTTTTAGTGGTCACGTTTCTTGCTCTGCACTGGATCTGGGTGTCACAGGTCAGGCAAAGTTAGACATGTCCGAGGGAAGACTTCCTGTTGTAATGTAAATGCAGCCACAGAGAATGGAAGTCTTCATTGTTAAGCATTTATCTGCTGTGGGGTATAAAGACCGGCCTAAGTCTGTCTGCAAATCCCCTCCCCTTGTTATGAAAATAAGGTGAGGGGGTGGTGTTCTGTAGTCTAAATCAGGAAAGCAACCTAGGGTGACAACACTGTGTATATATGTACTGTATGTACATATATATATTATACAGTATGGTGAGTGAGAGTCGTCACCCTAGGTATATTATTTGCAGGATCACCAGGTTGTAATAAAAGAAAACTAATGCAGCCCCCACATCTGAGGAGTGGTAATCAGCACTATATTATATTTTTGTTCTTGGGTTTAGTTTCACTTTAAATGCCATAGAAAGAAATGAAAGCAGCAAATCCTATCAGTGAGTATCCCTTCATTCTGTGATGTGTGCTCTCCCTGCCTAAGAACTGCAGAGGGCATTGCTCTGAACCCGGGAACATGTAGCGTGCATTTGCACAGGTCCGGGGTCAAGCCTGAGGATACAGTCAGCAATAGGAATATAGCTGGTAGGTCAGTGAGCTGCTCAGGATCAATGCCAAGACAATAAAAGCAGATGTACCTTGAGGGGGTTTCAATGCTAAATATTTGGAGTGGTGCAGCTTAGTAGTCGTGTTTAAAGTTCCATAAAGCTTGCAGCTAATACATTCCACTTGTCCGCCATTTTTGTTTTCCAGGTGATGGAGTTTGTGTACAGAAATGGCATGGCTTTCCAGTACCCGGAGCCGCTAGATAAGAACGCGTACGTGCGTTCCAAAGTGTGGAGCACAGAGTACGACTCCTTCTTACCCGACGTCTACGACTGGCCAGAGTACGCATCAAAGCCTCACAAAATGTTCTGAGCTGAGCCGACTCTCCTTTCCAGGAAGATCGCTTTGCATGAGAATTGGGTTACGACCTTCAATTTTCTTGTGCCTTTTCCAGCTTCCACAATTAAATAATATGCCGCCCTCGACACCGGGAAAAAAAAAATCCGTCCTTGAGTCAAGTCCAACCCAAATGGATTATTATTACTGCAGGGTACAGAGTCTTACCAGGCTCTTCGGGTGGTCACCGGTGGACGCTTCCCCTCCATCCTAGACATGCTCTCAATATGTAGTAGTGTCACTGCACTCTGCTCGATTCTCCGTATGTCCAGCAGGAGTCGTCTGACAACTGCACTGTTGTGGACAGTCCTGGACACCGTACTTGACTCGACCCTGCAAGAGCCCTCCCAAGAATGAAATAATTCTCATTGTTTGGGCTTAATCTTGAAACCTTATGTTTTTATGGAGGGGATTTAGTTGCCTGAAGCACCCCCTAATTTCTCCTGAAATGACTATCACTTTACCCCCCCAAAAAATAAGGTGCTGACCGGCATAATGTCTCTTCTAGTAGTGTTGAAGTGTGTCCCCCCTTTTCTGCCTTCCAAACATTCCTATTGGACAGTGAGGCATCCCATTATAGTGATGGGCCAATAGGAATGTAGATAGGCAAATTGGGCAAGCTTTAGCATGATGTCAGAGCTTTGCCTGATCAGAACAGCCCAGCATTTGGACCTGGGACACTCACAGACCTGGGAGACTGAGAACAATTGCAGGTTTGTGTAGGTCCCTCTAGGTGCCTGCCATTTATACCTGTCAGCCGGTTCATCCTTTTTGTGTCCCTTTCTGAATTTTACATTTAGGAAATTCAGTAAGTACATCTGAGTACCAAGCGAAAACTGAACTCCCATCCATTATCTTTTTCTTAAACTTCCACTGGCCCAGCTTGGTTATATCTAGTTCTTCACATGTCACGTGCGGAGGGCCACCGGGGATACAGACAATCATTGTTGTAGCCTGTGCTACATACAGTCCAAGCTACATACAGTCCAAGCTGGTCTCTTTCAAATTGTGAAAGAGACCAGGGGGGAATTTATCAAAACTGGAGCAGACAAAATCTGGACCAGCTGTACATGACAACAATCAGCTTCTCTCTTCAGTTTGTTCAGTTAAGATTTGAAAATAAAAGAGAGAAGCTGATTGGTTGCCGTGAACAGCTGCTCCTGTTTCGGTCTGCTCCAGTTTTGATAAATTCCCCTCCTTGTATTTTATTCATTGAGCAAGCATTATTTAATTGGACGAGGCAGAGATCGTGACAACATCCTCCTACTCCTTCACCTCGTTCAGTCCAAGAACACCTTGTAGTCATTTAAAAAAATATAAGACTTTCTCTGACTGGCTGAGGTGCCAAGCGAGTGATTTCCTGTGCCCGGTATATGGCAGGTTGCTCTAACAGCACCTGAAGAGATCAGCACTGTATGTAACCCAATCTACTACAGTGAATTTCTGCATCCCCACCAGCCCTCTGGAAGTGAGATATGAAGATTTAGATGTAACCTAGCTGGACCAATGGAAGTTTAAAACAAAAAGATAATATCTGGTGTTCAGGGTCTAAAGTAGGGATTCACAGATACCCTTTTTTTTGGTTACGAGTACCGATATATATTTTTTTGGTACTCGCCGATACCGGAAGTCCCATTAAGGAAGCCGGGCAGCATGTAATGACTCGCCACCTGGCTTCCTGATTAGCAGGGAAGCCGACTCCATGCTTCCTCGTCACCAGGTGACAAGAAAGTATGGAGCCGGCTTTCTGGCCAATCAGGAAGCCCGGGGGGCGGGGGGGGGGCTTGGGGGACAGGTAATGACTCACTGCCTGGCTTCCTGATTGGCCAGCTTCTCGATCAATGAGGAAGCCAGGCAGCGAATCATTACTCGGCGCCCGGCTTCCTGATTGGCCGACTCCATGCTGATAGCGGAAGTTTGGGTATTGGGCTAGGCAGCGCCTAGCCCAATACTAGTATCGGTGCATCCCTAGTCTAAAGGTAGTGGAGATGTTGGTGTTGGGAATGCAAATGGGGAAATCTGTCCACAACGGTCTAGGACAGTCATAACAATCTAGTTCTAGTAGATTATTGCAGTCTAGGTTTACATTGGGGATTGAGAGAAGTTCAGCCTTCTCCATAGTCTAGTTCCTGTGTCCACAGTTGTCACTAGCAGGGAGCAAATTGTGAACTAGGCAGGATCCCGTCTATGGTGGGAGGTTTTTTTTAAGGGATTCGTACATTCATATTTTATTTAGACCGGGATGTGTCTATGTGCACTCACAAACTCTTTAATTGGACACCATTGAGAGCAGTTGTATGTGGCTTACGATGCGGCATCGCCCCAACATGCTCCAAAACATTTTACCTGCACTGTGACTCACAGCCTCATAAAACGACATTTGGGCTTATTCAGTCTGGGGCAGAGTATAGAATACAGTACCCCATATCATAGCGCGACCTCAGTTCACTAAAGTGAAGACAGAGCTGTTATACTTTGCTAATCGCCTTTTGTGTTTGTCTTCGAGTACAGGTGAAACTCGAATAATTAGAATATCGTGCAAAGTTCATTTATTTCACTAATGCAACTTAAAAGGTGAAACTAATATATGAGATAGACTCATTACATGCAAAGCAAGATAATTCAAGCCGTGATTTGTCATAATTGTGATGATTATGGCTTACAGCTCATGAAAACCCCAAGAACCCCAAATCCACAACCTCAAAAAAGTCGATTATTACATGCAATCAATAAAACAAGGATTGTACATAGAACAATATCGGACCTCTGAAAAGTATAAGCATGCATATGTACTCAGTACTTGGTTTGGGCCCCTTTTGCAGAACTTACTGCAATTACTTTTGCACAATATTCTAATTATTCGAGTTTCACCTGTAAGCCCGACAATCTCATTCATCTTTTATGTCTTGCACAACTCCAAAGAAAATGCGCACAGATTAATATATATAAAGAATATTGCAAATTATACATGGTAAGGTATACATATTATAACAGCGTAAAGCGTTTTACAGTGACGTGTGTTATGTAGTGCGACATGTATAGTGAATGTATCCATTCATGTCTGTAGTGCAGGCATGGCTTTACTACGGCCTTTCAGATGCTCATGGGCAATATCTCCCAGCATGCACTGCTTGGCCTAATCAGTTAGAGAACCTATACTGTGGTGCAATATAGCAGACTGCATCTTGTAAAGCTTATTTTAATGACGTTTTAGTAAATTAGTGAATTATTTGGAGAATATATCATTTTTTACCTTTTTTTTAAACTTTGCTTTGCAGTGGTTTGAACCTTTTCACACCAACCATCCATTGTCATCTATTAGACCCCATACACACTGAGCCATTTGTAGCGCGATTTCAGCTCAAACATCAGCTCAATGTAGCTCTTCCAATGCATTTCAATGGAGCTGTTGACATCTCACAGCTCAATGTCGCCTGTAGCTTGTAGCTCAAGCTTGTCGCTTGGACATGACCTATTTTTCTGCGGATTTCGTGCGAATTGGCCCCAATAGACCAATAGTGTAGCTCATTGTCGCGCTACAGAAGTGTCACTTTTGCTCAGAAATATAAGCAGGAAACAGGAAGAGGAATTATGTCACATCAAGACCAATTGTGATTGGATAGAGCCCAATGTAGCAGTTACGAAGTCCATGCCAAAAGTAGCGCAACGTAGCGCGACAATATGTGCAATGTCTCTCAAAGTCGCTCAGCTCAAATCAGCGCTGATGTAGCTCACTGTGAATGGGGTCTTAAAATCCAAACTGTGGAGGTTATTCTCAGAGAAATATCTGGCAGCAGGAGAGATGGTCTCAACACATCCCAACAGGTTGCACTGCGCGGTGTGAATATTATGTCGGCCATATCAGGCTGATTGCTTTATTGAGATTACTAACAGGAAGGCAGCCGGTATAAAAAAATATCTTCACTCGGGGGTCAGAAATTGATCTCGCATTCCCCCAAGCTTCTGCTTGGCTTTGTAGGTATTGTTTGTTGGTTGGGTCTACTGGTCCTCTGCTGGAATTGGGCAGGACATGGAGGGGTGTTTATTTCAATATACCTTCAGCAGACATTTTATTAGGTCCACCTGGAACCCGCTTATTCCTTCAGAGTTTTTGTATAATGCATATAATGAGGTGCCTGTAACATTTTTGCAGGTTCTGGCCCATGTTGACTTGATAGCGTCACACATTGGTTGACCACACATCCATGGTGTGAACCTCATCCCAAAGCATTCATCACGGGGAACATGTTAAATTCTGCCCCTAGCATATGCAGAGAGTAAAATTTGTCACACCAGTTAGCATTTCTTCCAGGGTCATGGTGCTGAAGTTTTGGCCATCCCATGCTCACTGGAGCCTACTTTACCTCTTAGCTGACAGTAGTGAAACCCATTGTGGTCTTCTGTAGTATACGAACAGACCGCACTATCCAGAGAATTCCAATCCTTCAGACTTTATTGAAATTCACAGCAAATCCAGTATAATAGTGTATGTAACGGCAAATACCAGCACTGCAAACCCCCAACCAGCTAAAACCTCTCACATGTTTCAGGTGGTTGGGGGCTTGCGGTGCTGGTATTTGCTGTTACATACACTATTATACTGGGAAATTCAATAAGATCTGAAGGACTGGAGTTGCGGTGAATGTAGTAGTTCGTATACTACTACATTCCACGGTGGAGACGCACCTATTAGACCAGCACCTGGGGAGTCCTGATGGCGGCTAAGGAATTGGAGCGGTGAGATTTCTTTTGGCTCTGCCATTGTGGTCTTCTGCTGCTCTTCAAGGTTCCACATGTTGTACATTGAGAGACGCCCTCCTGCCACATTGCTCTGACTCCTCCCATCTCTTGACTCTCAGGACTCCATATTTCTTGTTTTTGGGAACTCTTGAGACTAGTTCATGAGAGTCACAGAAGGTCAGTGGTTTCTGAGGTGCAGTGCCCACCAGTACCAAGCACCAACAATCATTCCATGGGCAAAGCCACTTGGATTGTATCTCCTCCTTGTAATGTTTGGAAGTGAAATGTCTGAACC